ACTGGGCAATGCATAATTTCCAAGTGGTCGCCGATGAAAAGAAAGGTGTCTATGAATGTGAGTGCAAACTCCGGACACACACAGGTGTGACTCCCTAGCAAAAAAATTCTAGTTTCCGATAGTCATGCACGAAAGCTCACTTACTGAACTTTAAAAGTCCACATGCATGAGTAATTCACAAAACCAAATGAAGTTCACTTCTTTAAAATGAACAAATAACGAAAAATATGTGTTTATTAATTTCATGCAGTTCACTTACAAAACAAAGAAATCATGTGTTGTTTGCAGGGCTCTTTTGCGTCCATGTGTTATGCATGCTTTCTCATTTGAGAGTACTCAAGATTCCCGAGGTGTACATCATGAAAAGATACACTCGTAACGCAAGATCAAATGCAACGTTTGACAGGAGAGACTACGAACAAACAACACCAGATGGAAGCTCTCTTTTTTGCCGTAGAAAATTGCTGACAGAAACAACAATGGACCTTGCAAACAAAGCGACAAGGTCCGACGCTAGGTGCCAGAGAGCGTTGTCTGGTATGAGGGCACTGATCGAGGAAGTTGTTTGCTCAACGAAGAAGAAGAAGCAACAAAACTAAAGCAGGCAGAGAAATCCCAGCATGACAATAATGTCGAGCAAGTAGAAAATACCGAACACAATGCAACTGGTGTTATCAAAAAAGAATCAATTCTTCCACCTCCTGTTTCAAACACAAGAGGAAGGAAGAAAGGGGGCGACGCAACCCATAAAAAGGTTGCATGTAGGGAGAAAAATGATGACAAAAACAGTAAGCCACAGCTTGAGCTGGACAGTGATGGTCACCCACTAGGAGTAAGAAGGTGCAAGACATGTAATGAAATCAGTGGCCACAATTCCAGGACATGTACAAAAGGACATGAACAAGAAAACTGAGGACATGTCAATGCACAACCAAAATGAAATTCCACTCACAACACTAAGAAATGGACGAAACAGAGACGTTGTAGCATCTGCAAGAAGAGGAAGAGACACAATTCAAGAACCTGCCCCAAAAGAACAAGATCAGAAAATGAGGAAGACGAAGAAGATGAAATCAAAGAAGAAGATGGTGACACAACTGAAGAAGAAATGGCTTATGAAGAAGAAAATGAAGAAGAGGAGGAAGAAGAAGAGAGTGAAGAGGATGAAGAACATGAAGAAACTAAAGAAGGAGTGCCTTATGAAGAAACAAATGAAGGAGAGGAGGAAGAGGAAGAAGAGAGTGAAGAGAGTGAAGAGGACGAAGAACATGAAGAAACAATGCCCACAAGACCACCACAAGGGAATGTTGTTATACAGAAACAACCAAGAACGACACCATGTTCAAAAAACAAGGTAGAAGCACGAAAGGATGCAGTTCACAGCACTGGAAAACAAAAGCCGCCATCAACCAACATGTTGGGAGAAAAGAAGGATGCAGTTCACATCATTGGAAAACGAAAGCCGCCATCAACCAGCATGCGGGGAGCAATGAAGGATGTAGTTCACAACGCTGGAAAACGAAAGCCGCCATCAACCAGCATGCGAAGGGCTACAAACACAACGGTGCAGAGACATGAACCAGCAACACCGCCACGAAAAACAAAAGAAAGTGCGACATTAGACACGCTACAGTCACTGCGAAGAAGCAGCAGGTTAACGACCAAATAGATGAACTTCAATAAATTAATCATATACATAGCAGTTTGCTTATCTGTAAGACTTATGTATCAGTTTAAATTTTGTGTAAACACAAATTTTCCCGCTGACTAAGAGTTATTCGACTAAACCATGTAAAGAGAAATGGTGTATAGAGTATACCATATATATAGCAGTCTAGAGTAAACATTGACACATTTTGATCCAAACCCATGAAAAAATGCAGTGAGCTCACTGGCAGCACGAAGTTCTGAATAATAATTGAAGCAGTTTAGATCACAGAAGTACTTATTACAAAGCACATCAAAAAGATGAAGCGTTCGACACGCAAAAGTATTTATTACAAATCAACCTCATAACCTTAACCAATCACGTCAAACATGATTCTAACCGTACGATCCTCGAGTTCAAATAAGTTGGGGACAAGAACTTGCTCAGACTTCAGGCCACTGTCAATGACAAATTCCTTCCAGCCTTTCTGCCGACACAGCCTACACGGGACTTTGCTGGTTTAAGGTGTCCATTACCAAGAACAACTTGGAGAATTCCCTTCTTCTTGAGCCGGAGATACCTAATAGCTCGTTGGGGGATTTTCTGCACAAAAGAATTAAAACTATTTGGTGATGATACTAGCAGTACAATTCTCATACTTTGCACAGACCAGTAAAGACCTACACACAGTACATACAAGAAATAGATGAAGTGTACAACTGCCCAAGAAGCAGTACAGATTAAACGCAATATAATATGCAGTACGGAAATTGCAAACAAGCAATACGCTTCTAACTATCATGAAGTTCTTGAGACTACCTGCATGTAGTACACACCATACAAGCGGGGAAAATTGTGGAAACTAGTAGTGCTCATCTAATATCTAAGGAGTTCACATATTGTAACCATGCAAACTAAAACACGAGCTCCATGCACACAAGCAAAAAAATGAAAACATAGATATAAGTACACAGTGCAGTACACTTCAATAAAACAAAAATAAGTGCGTTCCTAAAAAACTAGAAGTTCAGACTAATATGGAATTGTACAAAAAAATAGAAAACACAAAGAAAAAATCAGATCAAGCAAAAAATACCATCTTGTAGTGAGTCTCCACATCTGTTGGCGTAAGCTGATGGACAAAAGGACTTGTGCGGCCAAGGCCACGGCGAAGCAGGGCGGAATAGAATACAACAACGTTGATGTGACCCATATCAAATCCTTCTGTGAATACGGTGCCATATGCAAGCTGCTCCGCTCGCCTAGCTCGCACAAGACCTTGCCCCCACGACGATCACGACGGGCCTGCGAGCAAGCTGAGCAATCGCAGTGCGTTGGCACACCACAACCATGGCCGCAGCAGGAGAGATTCACACAGGGGCCTGGAGCCATCGCAACAAAAACCTAGAAAAGGAAAAAAATAAAGAGAGGCTGGAGAAAGGAGAGAAGTTGCGGTTAGAGGAGAAATGAATTGCAAAGGAAGGGTAGAAGTTGGCCTACATTTATAGAAGAGGAATGGAAAAAGGTCAAAACTGAAAATTAAAGGGGAGTTAATGAAAATTATGTTACCAAGAGTGAAGGAAAATCAATAAAGGCTTATGTTAGCAAAGAAAAAGGACCCAAAAAACGGTGTACTTTGACTGTAGCATTTCCCACGAACTAACTGCTGATCATTAAATAATTATTTCTAAAAAATTATAATCCGCAAACCATTCTAAATAAAAGTGAATGCAGTTCTCCAAAGTAATATCAGGAAGTTCATAATATGTGTACATGAAGTGCATTACATGCTCAAAATGAAGCACGAGATAAGCACTTTCGCGCAGTGCACAACGTAGAATTAGTGCACCTGATGCAGTCCTTAAATGTAAGTAATGCAGTCCGCAGCGTTGGTATAAGCAGTCACAACTTTGCCACAAAGAAGGATGCACGCAGCGCAAAATGTGTACACCTGCAGCACAAGACTATGACGAATGCAGTGCACACCCGTACACTAGAAAAAGGATACGTAAGAGGAAAAACAATAAAGAAAAATGCTACTCATGCAGTGCACAAAAATGTAGCGCAAACATGTGTAGTGCGGAATGCATGCACATGCAGTATAGAACCCTGATCAATGCAGTGCACAAATGATTTACTAAGTAGTGCACGCCCCTACATTTGAAAAAATGCTTAAGAGAGAAAATACAAAGAGAAAACATTGACCACCCCAGGTGCAGCCGGCCCCAGCCAGTCTCGTAGTAGGTCTACGCCCACAGAAGGCGAGTCATTCTGAGCCATGATGCATGGGGCCGGGCACACATGGGCCCACATATCAGAGAGCATAGTGTAGTTGGCGCCGTGTATAAGCGCCCAAATAAGTAACCAGAGGAGTTCGATAAGGATGCCTCGCCAGCGCTTATAAACAGGTCGAGCGCGCCCTCTGCGAGCGAGGTGGGACTAAGCATTAGGCCGCACACACAACACACTGGGAACCAGCCATGCTGACAGGCCGACTTGGGCCCAATGCGTCTTCACTCCCCGGAACACAGGCCCAACACGGCCCACTAAAAAAATAATAAGTACAAAAATAAAACATCAAAGAAAAATGAGAAACATTTTTTAAATGAAAAAACAACAAAAAAAAGTGCGTGGGCATTGCCAGAAACTACAGTTCGCTCTTAATAAATAAAACACAGGAAGACCGAAGTCAACGTACAAATGCAGTCCGCGACGTACAACAATGCAGTTCGCCATGTGGAAGCAGGAAGTATTCTTTTTTCTGAAATGCAGCTCTCTTTCTACTGCAATGCAGTATGGCTAAAAAGAAGAATGCAGCCCTGTTAGTTATGCAAAGCAGTCTGACACCCCTACCCACACTACCCTCCATCCACACAAAAGCTGCATTAACATCAAAAATAAAAAAAATAAAAAAAAGAAAGAACTCCATCAAAAAACTAAATGTGCTTACATCTGTGTGAATCCTGATTCGATATAATTCAGTGTATGAAGAGTAAATTTCACTTTGCACTACACTATGTGGACATATGCAGTTCTGTTGTGATAGCGAAGAAGTGCACTTACAGTTGCGTGCATACCTGAACTAGTCACGAAAAAAGAGGCGACGACGTTCCGGATTTTCAACGCACTAACATAACCTCCTAGCAGAGCCTCTCTGCAGTTGCCACATAACTAAAAACACAGCCCCACCATGCTACCATCCCGCTCCACCTCTCCCACGTCCTGTCACGGAGAGCAGAGGAGAAAACACAACTGCTTCACCCCCCAAACCCCATTGCATCTTCTTCTCCACACTTCCTTTCATTAACCTCTCTCTCTCTCCAGAACAAACACGAGAGAGCACAGGAGAGTCATGGCAGATGCACCTCTACACAAGCAGTGCCACATGTACACCAGGGAGCTCCACGACGTCGACCTCCACGGCAACCACAAGCTCCACGTCGTTTGCACAAGCAAGGGTGAAGACATGGACAAGATGTTGTCCACGCTCAGGAGGAAGCTCGACGGAATACCCATCAAACTAGTCGGTGTTGATGTCGAGTACACACACTACATGAAGCCACAGCGGGCAGCAGTGCTCCAGCTATGCGTAGAAAAAGAATGCCTTGTATACCACATCTCTATAGCTAAAGACATGTCAGAATAACTATCAATCTTTACTATTACTTGCCAATACTGATTTAAATTTTTCTTCATTGCAACTGCCATTATTTAAACTGTGGTTCTCATTTTTAAAAAGCACGACATAGGAATTCATTGACAGTCTTCATCTAGCTCCATGTAACTCGTGAGTTCAATTCTTGAATTATATGATCTAGCGATACACACAGTTTTATTTTGTTCTACCAAATACAAATTATTTGACTGAACAATAGAAAACTGCAGCATTACTATATAAAACATGTATGAAATTCAATTCAAGAATCCAAACATGCACAAAACATGCATTGTTTATGCAATCTATTATCAGATTTACTAGCTATGCTATATAAAGTATTAGCAGCTACTCACTGCAATAGATTCAGGTATTCATATTGCACTTCAGTTTCAGAAAAAACAAAAAAACATTGGTAGTTCTAAGAAATAAACTATATCCAGTCTATACAAACATCTTGCAGGCCAATGGAACTAGACAAATTCCTCATGAATGGTGAGTACACCTTCGTCAGATTCACCATTGAAGGAGATAAAAGCAAGCTGAAGCTATCTGGATTGAAGATCAACTCCGACAACTACATTGATATTCAGGTGGAATGGAAAGACCCATACAATAAAAAGGAGTTTGACTCTTTGGCTGATGTTGCCGGCAAGATGATTGACATTCACTACCATGACATGAAAAAAAATTTATCCGCAAGGAGGATCATACTCTGTGGGGATTTTGCCTGCTGCCAGACAATCTTATCAAGTATGCAGCAATTGATGCATTCGCAACATATGAGTCATGGAGAATCATCTACGATGTCATAATGGGACTAGACAGGGCAAAAAGAGACAAAGAAGCAAAGAAGAAGAAGAACAAGGTTGTAATCCAATACAACAACTACAAATAATCAGGGCTATGTTTAGTTTCATTTTACTTTAGTGATTGTGTTGTTCTTTGTTTCATGTCTGCAAGCTTTTGATTAAGTCCGTTGCTTCATATCGAACGTTTCTTTTTTAAAAACAATGCCATTTTAGAATTATCATCAAATTTTCTTTCTGTTGTTTGCTTATGTATCATCAGTTTGCTTGTGATCATTTGCTTTTGCTGAACTTAGTTTGTATTAGAACAAGTATTCAGACAACTTTGAAAAATTTAATGTGCGATACCAAAACATACTACACATATACTAAACATATTCAAGAACAAGTTAAACAAAAAAAATTAAGTAATCTAATTACAACTCATACATAAAAAAGAAAGATTAATGCAGTTCACAATGGTAAAAATAAGCAGTACACATGTGTCCACATGTAGTCCATAATAGTAATTATAGAAAAACACCATTAATATTAATATTACTAAAAATATCCGCAGACCATTCTAAACAAACGTGAATACAGTTCACCGAAGAAATATAAAGCAGTTAACAAAGTGTATACATGAAGTGGAGTACATTCTTAAATGTAGAACAATAGGGGATGCAGCAACTTTCGTGGGGTGCACAACGCACAAACTTGGTACACGTAGTGCAGTCCTCAACGTTGGTGCAAGAAGTACAAATGACATCATTTGTACTACCACGAAATATATATACTCCAAAAGAAAAAATGCTTCACATGAGGAATTTTTTTGACCATCCAGGTGCAACCAGGCCCCATCCAATCCCGTAATAGGTTTGCGCCCATAGTAGGCGAGTCGTTCTGAGCCATGTTGCATGGGGTCGGGCACACAAGGGCGCATATTTCAGAGAATTAAGGGCAACGAGCGCCGTGTATAAGTGCCCAAACAAGTATCCAGAGGAGTTCGAACGAGATGCCTCGCCAGCGCTTATAAATAGGTCAAGCGCGCTCTCCGTGGGCGAGGTGTGACTAAACATTAGGGTGCACACACAGCGCACCAGGAACCAGCCGTGCTCACAGGCCAAATTGGGCCCAATCCGTCTTACACCCCAACGGACCCAACAAATTCTCACAGCCCAAAACAAACAAGCCCAACAACACACAACTAGCAAGTAACTCCAGTACCCCCCACCTAAAAAAATGCAGTCTGCTATGCAGTTCGTTATGGGACGGAAGATGTGCTATCAATAAAGCATTGTAGTTCGCTTAGACGATTGTTTTATCCAGCCAATCAAGAACACTACCACAGCTAGCCCGAGTCAAATCACCTCCTCCACTTGGCGAATCTTTTCACTTGGCTACAATGGCACAATCCCATGTCACACCCTGGATTGGTTGACAGGCGCACGGGGTGTGACAGGGAGGCGATGGGGTGTGACAGACTCGCCTACGCATGTGGTGCTGCGGCACGCCGCGTCGCCACCTGCTCCGGCTCATTCCAGGCTCGGCCTCGCAGGGGGGTGGGGAGGGGGGTCACGACCCCCCACCCCTTGCTCGTCCTTGCACTAACACAGGCAGTGCGCTTGGTTGATAGGCGCAGTACGAACATTCTGTTTTCCAACCCTAGGACGCACGCAACCCTAGAGCCACACCCCTAAGATAGATAGGTGAAAGTGCAACTATCCCTAGGTGGTTTTGGTAATTCATAACAACATATAGCTCATTGAGCTAATGCTATTCCAAGATGACTATTTCAGGAAAGCTCAATGATTGGCATGGCATGGATGTGAAAGTGGAACCCTCAAAATGCTAAGGACAAAGGATTGGCTCAAGCTCAAAAGCTCAAGACTCTTCATTTTATATTTTAGTGATCCAAGATCACATTGAGTCTTTAGGAAAAGCCAATACTATCAAGGAGGGATGAGGTGTTGCTTAATGAGCCTCTTGCTTCATGTGCTTAGTGATATGTTCCAAAACCCTCAACTACTTTCCCATATCCACATATGACCTAAACCCTAAGGCAAACTCGGTCCTAGCGATTCTTTCTATCCGGCGCCACCGAGTTTCATTTGTCATAAGCCACTGCCAAACCCTAGCAATTCGGTTCTACCGATAGGGATCTCGGTCTCACCGAGATGGGATTGCAAACTCTCTGTTTCCCTTTTGTAACTTTTCGGTCTCACCGAAAGAGCGAATCTGTCCCACCGAGATTGCAATGTAAATTCAGTGTTTCCTTTTTGTAACTTTTTGGTCTCACCGAAAGAGCAAATCGGTCCCACCGAGTTTGCCTGACCAACTCTCTGGTTAGCTTATTACCAAAATCGGTCTCACCGAGTTTGTGTAATCGGTCTCACCGAGATTATGTTATGCCCAAACCCTAACCATATCGGTCCTACCGAGTTGCATGTCAGTCCCACCGAAAATCTCTAACGGTCACTAGGTTTACCTTCTCGGTCCGACCGAGTTTTTTGATTCGGTCCCACCGAGATTGGAAAACTGTGTGTAACGGTTGGATTTTGTGTGGAGGCTATATATACCCCTCCACCTCCTCTTCATTTGTGGAGAGAGCCATCAGAACACATACACAATTCCAACTCATATGTTCTGAGAGAGAACCACCTACTCATGTGTTGAGACCAAGATATTCCATTCCTACCATATGAATCTTGATCTCTAGCCTTCCCCAAGTTGCTTTCCACTCAAATCTTCTTTCCACCAGATCCAAATCCTATGAGAGAGAGTTGAGTGTTGGGGAGACTATCATTTGAAGCACAAGAGCAAGGAGTTCATTACCTACACACCATTTGTTACTTCTTGGAGAGTGGTGTCTCCAAGATTGGCTAGGTGTTACTTGGGAGCCTCCGACAAGATTGTGGAGTTGAACCAAGGAGTTTGTAAGGGCAAGGAAATCGCCTACTTCGTGAAGATCTACCGCTAGTGAGGCAAGTCCTTCGTGGGCAATGGCCATGGTGGGATAGACAAGGTTGCTACTTCGTGGACCCTTTGTGGGTGGTTGCTTCTTCGTGGACCCTTTGTGGGTGGTTGCTTCTTCATGGACCCTTCATGGGTGGAGCCCTCTGTGGACTCGCGCAACCGTTACCCTTCATGGGTGGAGCCCTCCGTGGACTCGCGCAACCGTTACCCTTCGTGGGTGGAGCCCTCCGTGGACTCGCGCAACCGTTACCCTTCGTGGGTTGAAGTCTCCATCAACGTGGATGTAGGATAGCACCACCTATCCGAACCACGGGAAAAACATCCGTGTCTCCAATTGCGTTTGAATTCTCCAAACCCTTCCCTTTACATTCTTGCAAGTTGCATGCTTTACTTTCCGCTGCCAATATACTCTTTGCATGCTTGCTTGAATTGTGTGATGATTGCTTGACTTGTCCTACAATAGCTAAAATCTGCCAAGAAGTAAAATTGGGAAAAGGTTAAGTTTTTATTTGGTCAAGTAGTCTAATCACCCCCCCTCTAGACATACTTTCGATCCTACAACAGGGAGGCGACAGGGTGTGATAGACTCGCCTACGCATGCAGCGCCGTGGCACGCCGCGCCGCTGCCTGCTTCGGCTCGTTCCAGGCCCGGCCTTGTAGGGGGTGGGGAGGGGGGTCACGACCCCCCTCCCACCCCCCTGCTTGGCCTCGCGCAAACGCATGCAGTGCACTAAGTACAGGGAATACATGTGCAGTACAAACCTATAGACAACTAAAAAAATGCCCCCAACCCTGCCACCCTACCGTACAAACAATAAAAAAACCAAGTGCAGGACGCAACCTTAGACAATGAAGTGCGTTTGGTTAGACAAAGCAGTACAGTATCATAAAGAAATATAGTTTCAGGATACACACATGAATACAGGGGCTGCAGCAAGTGCAACAAAAAGATACAGGTCCAACATAAACCTATAGACAAATGCAGTGCTTTTTGTTGGACGAAGAAGTTCAGCATCACATGTAATGCAGTTTCTACGACACGTACGATACATATAAGCGTGACAAATGCCAGTTCGCACATAACATAGTCATCAACAAAATAAAAATATATATATATATATATATATATATATATATATATATTGTACGAGTTGTTTATATAAATACACACACAAATTCGTCCATATACGCTGCTGCAAAAAGCAGACGAAAACACAATAGAAAAAGTCATTTCATACATTATCTACCTTAGATAGCACACAGTACACAACATGAACCCTAGTTCTTGTCCATACACGGGCTTTTACCCCAGGAAAAACAAATGCCAAATGACTGTTACTGCGTTTGGGACTGTGTCTGCGACAGGGAATTAAGCCCGATGTTTGCAATCAGATCTCGTAGCTCAGGCGGCATGTCTTTATAATACAACATGTTCGAAGGATTGAACAGCAGCTGGAACATGTACTCCGCCTTCCAATCTTCAACGGCAGGCTGAAAAGAAAATTAAAGAAAAAATGCAGATTAGTGATTAAAAAAAGGTCGTCATAAGAACAAAAAAGTGAAAAAAATCAAAAAATAAAGGAGGTAACAAGAAAAGAAGAAACAGAGAAAGTATTATGTTGGATTTGACAATCTTCTGGACTAGACATTGGTCGTCATACAACTGCGTCAACCTCAGAACATATATTCCGCACTCGTTTGTTCCTTGCGCTGGCATGACTGGGACAGAGGGCTTCTCTGCCAATTTAACCCAGTACGGGTGGTTCTTAGATTTATACAATTTTTCACCATAAATCGCCTTCAGCATCTGAGTCATCCTCCTCATCTGGCAAAAAAAAAAGGAAGCACAAAGTGAAATAACACATGTCACAGATCAAATAACTATTCGGACGAACCGAAAAAATACAAAGTTCTTCTCAACGTCTAGACAATCCTTCTTTTAAATGCACGTGAGGTCATTTCCCTTTATAACTTTTTTACACAGATATTTTACACAGATTGGGGCTGTGTGAGAAAATGCAGTTCTATTGCACATATGTTGCAGTGCACTA